AATGTAAAATGATGTATTTATTACACCTTAACATTACAAAAACTAATTTTCTTTTCTTTTTTTTTATAAATTAAATGTAAAATGATGTATTTATTGCACCTTAACATTACAAATTGGATATCTCTTTTTGTGAGGAACCAAATAAAAAGAATGAGTGGTTTAAATTTTAACCTTAAAGTAATTAGGGAACAAGAACAAAAAATATATAAAAAAATATTATTATAAACCTTAAAAATAATTAGGGAACAAAGACCAAAAATATAAAAAAAATAAATAAATTATTATATGATTGCGGATTCAAAGAATGACTTAAATCAATTATATATATGCATGGTCGATTGGAAGAAGAAGATATACCTTAAATTGCTAGTGTTTTCTCCAACCGACAAGAGTAAGGATCGGCCAATGTGCCTGACAAAAACTTCTCCACAAGTTGCCTGTAAAGTACAAACCAAAATGCAACAAATTTAAAAGGAAGAAAATCACTATGCGATCTATGATAAGAAAAGTAAAAACCAAACAAGAGATTATGCTACTACATAACACAATTTAATAAAAAGATCAAAAAGTCGGAAATATCAAAGTATAATGAAAAGATTATGATACTATCTATTAAAGTTTAATGAAAAGATTATAGTACTAGATTATACTCTTCTAAGTATCAGAAAATAAAGCTTTGAGGGAAGTAAAAGGAATGTGGAAAAACACACATTTAGGAATTAGGAACTATATATACCTGCTGCCTGAAAATTGTGCTTCTTCAATTTGAGTCTTTGAGAATATTGAAAATGTAAATTGCAGAATATGATGTAGATTTCACCAAATTGATGCAATCTGCGAAACAAGAGAATACAATGTGAGATGGAAAGTTAAATATAGGAAAATTTTCACCAAAAGAAAATGGTTAACAGAAAAAATGGTACAGAATCAGCAGCAAAGTTAGGAAGGTTTTAGGAGTTTTTGCAAGCTAAGGCCACATTAGGTAAGTTTTACCATACAAATTGCCAGAGGTACAGGCAACTTGTGATCGCAAACGATTTACATATGAACAATATGTCCGAGATCCGAATATCGAATGGATTTTAGATATAACGACAAGTGGGAGTTTGCCACAGACACGATTGCGGAGAGCAATTCTTTCTTTCTGCAAATTTAGCCGAGAATGAGGGAGAGAGAGAGAGGCCGAGAGAGTTTCAGGGTTGCAGGTACCGGACAGCGGACTAGGACCAGGCGGACAGTACTGGGCAGAGAGTTCAGCCGGCACAGAGGAAGAAGTCGACAAGGAGGGGTGGACAGGGCAGAACAGAGGGCGTGGTATGGGAAGCAGAGGGAATATATGGAAAGGGGATATGATGTGGGAATGTTCAAG